ATTACTTCTTACCATAGGTCTTAGCAACCTCAGCATGGGATTTTTTCCTTATTGAGAACTTTCACCCTTTCACTTAAAGAAAGCCCTTTATAGCTTCTCTGTGGCATATCTGAATTGCCAGAATCACTACTCTTGCACTCGGGGACCATTTTTCATTAAAATAGGGGTTACTTGAGCATAGCACTGCGGTACTGCTACATTCAATCTGATAACCAGGACAACTACTAAGTGTCAGAGAGTGGGCAGAATACAGAGCAGGGATACAGACAAGGGGATGTTTCACATCAAAGGACAAAGGGATGATTCACATCCTGGGCAGGACACAGCAGGAAGGCATGAGATTTCATCCAGCTACTCAGAACAGAACACAACTTAGAACTTATGAATTATTTAATTTGGAATTTTCCATTTAATATTTTTGGACTGCAGTTGACCACAGGTAACTGAAACCTCATACAAGGGGGCCTAATATAGTAAAAACAAATTACTACTAATAGTAACAGGAATTACTTAATTAAAATAAAATTCTAGAAAAAAATTTCCAAATCAAACCAATATTTCTACCAATAGGCTTAACTAGTGAGGTTTCAGGGTAGTTCTATTATCCATTTTGATAAAAGTGTTAATTATGTGCCAGATCAAGCAATTATACAGAACTATTAGATACCTACATATATATATTTTTTAAGGCAATTGAACACAGAGATACTTTTGTTTTGGGTAGTACCAGGAGTTGAACCCAAGAGCACTTAATCACTGAGATATCCCAACCCCTTCTTTTTATTATTATTTTTTTTTATTTTGAGACAGGGTCTCATTGAGTTGCATAGGGCCTCACTAAGTTGCTGAGGCTGTCTTTAAACTTGTGATTCTCCTGCCTCAGACTCCCAAGTCACTGAAATTATAGGTGTGCACCACCATGCCTAGTTTATACCTAACAATTAATGAAAATTTCATATTCTACTTGCAAGATATTTATTTATAAATCTGCTTCAATGACTTTTCTATATATTGTCCAGAGTACTTAAGTTAAGAGCTTAGGGAAGAAATTATATTTTAGTTGTTGTGCTAGATCCTTAATAATAATGGCGTAACATATTTGATATTAAATGCATTTTATCATAAAAAATGAATGCAATAAGCTGCTAACATTTAGTAAGCTCTCCTGTTAATTAAGAACTTTACATATATGCCCTCCATATAATATCCTGAAAGTACTAGTTCCACTTCACAAATGAGAAAAGGCTTGGAGAAGTTTAGTAACTTGCTCAAAAATCGCACAGCTAACAGAGTAATAGGAATTTAGTCCCAGACCTGCCTGAATCCATCCATTACACTGCAAGGCCTCCCATAAACATTGTTTCTTCTAAAAAATGGACCAAGAACTCAGTTTTTGAGATAAAGTTATGTTTACGACTTGATTACAGTATACTAATAAGCCAAGAAAATATTCATTTCTAGCATTCTGTTCTCAATAATGAGGTTCAGTAGAAAAATTAGACTTTGTATTTGATAAAGTCTGATTACTTTATTATGTGTATTCCTTATGGGTCACAGAGGCCAAACCTCTTCATAATAAAATATATACACACACACACACACACACACACACACACACACACATTACTATAAATATAAACAAGACTAGAAAACAAAAACACTCCAAAACCCTAGCTGGTGGCTTCCTAGTTATAACTATATAGCTATAACTATAGTTATAACTAGTTATATTATAACTAATAGCTGCCTTTTTACAGGGTTTTTACAAAATATGCATACATTTGCACATATATACATACAATATTTTTGAAGTTTCTGATGGGATAAGCATTCAAGCATTCATGTACCCAGTTCTATGTGTGTGTGTGTGTGGGGGGGGGTGGTTTCCTGGGTATTCAAACCAGGAGCAGTCTGTCTCTACATCTCTAGCCCTTTTTAGAATTTATTAATTAAAAAAAAAAAAATCTCTAGTGCTTAAATTTTTTGCATTTTTGGGTACTGAATCCAGGCACACTTCACCACTGAGCTCCACCTCCAGCCCTTTTTATTTTTATTTTTTTTATTTTGAGACAGGATCTTGCTAAATTGCCAATACTGGATTTGAACTTGTAATCCTCCTGCCTCAGCCTGCAGTGTCCCTGGCATTACAATCTTGCACCACATGCACTCAGCTCATGCACCCAATTCTTTTGGAGGTATTCCCCAACATTTCAAATCCAATGTAAGATTAATAAAGGAAGCCGGTGGTGGCCGTGGCTCACGCCTATAGTCTCAGCAGCTTGGGAGCCTGATGCAAGAGAATCCCAAGTTCAAAGCCAACTTCAGGAAGATAGCAAGACCCTGTCTCAAAAAATAAAAAGGGCTTGAGATGTAACTCAGTGGTAAAGCACCCCTGGGCTCAATCTACAGGGGGGGGGGGGGGAGAAGCACTTTTGAAGGTGAGTGCAAAAGGTGTGCAAAGACACCCAAGACTGTTGTCAGAAGAGGTTAGCTATACCTCCCAGGAGATAACCGAACCCTGCCACAGCTAACCAATTAACTATACATGTAGTTTCAGTGTCATGCCCGGACACATGCCAACACCACTAGACAAAACAATGCCACTCCCAAAGAAGGTAAGGAACGGTTTCATTTCAAACTGCACTGCTGGGAGTATCTATTCCCCTTAGGTTCCAAACGAGCACCCAGCCAGGATGCAAACCCTTGGAGACAGGCTATAAATGATTCAGATTTTAAAAATTAGAAGTTTCCCGACTTTGGGCCGAGGAAACCAGCAAACACGGGGTCTGCAGACCGTAACTCAACTCGGGCGGTCATTAGCTGCGCAAGTTACTCGGCCTTTTTGCGCCTCAGTTTCCTCCACTGTGAAACAGGACTTGTAAGAGCACTTTACTGGGCTCAGATAACGTCCCCTTAAGAGTTCAGCAGTGGTGGTGGCAAGCCGCGGTCAGTAAACGGCAGCCAGCAGGATGCAGAGCCGAGGGCCACCAGGCTGGGGCGACGGGCGGGAAGCACCGGGCGGCGAGCACAGTGCAACCACCGAGTTTCCTGAGCCGCGGCCGGACTCGGGCCGGACTCCGGCCGCGGCACGTCCCCACCCTCCAGAAACCCCCCCGCGCGCCGCCTCTCGGGGACACCCGGGGCCGGAGCGCGCGAGCCCGGGGCTGCCGCGCCGAGGAAGGGGAGGTCCCGGGAGCGGCCCCCTCCCTGGCCGGCCCCTCACCTTCCGGGAACTCGGGCACCGAGAGGTCCTGCTCCCAGCCGTCCACCTTCTGCAGATACTGGTAGACCAGGTCGTCCTTCTCCTGCTGGGTGACGGCGTCCAGCAGCGCGTACTCGAGCGAGGTCTGCGCGGGCAGCAGGCCCGAGAGGCTGCCGCCCCGCGCTGCGGGCGCCGCCATGTTCCGCGGGCTCCGAGGCGGCCCGGCTCTCCCGCCCGGCCCCGGGCTTCAGAGCGGCGCCTCCGCCTCGGCCCCGCCAGCCCCACTGACCGCCAGGCACGGCTTTTCTTTTTCAAGCATGCGTTTCAATGCCAAAGTCCAGAGAGCCGCAACTCCGGGGCTTGTAATTAGGCTGCAGTCGCAGCCCACCCCGCCCCTTCCAGGTCCCCTCGCCGCGGCCGAGTCTGGACATTCAGAGCGCCAGATTCAACAGGGGCAAGGCCTGGGGTGGGGGTGCTTCTAGCTCGCTAAGGGACCCCTCCCCAACCCTCCATTTTGGAAACTAATAGGTTTCAAAACAAAAATAAAATAAATAAATCCGTAGAAGTTAAAAGGGCACTTTAAAATCTTCATTTAGAGTCCCACTTTTAGACTAAGATCAGCCGATTCGACACAGCTCTGGCAGCGAGAAGCAGTTCCCGCCAAGGACCAAAGGTAAAGGGATAGGAATGTCCTCGAGAGAGAAAGCTTTTTAAGTTGGGAATGACTGGCCAGTGGCTTTGACTTGTAACCAAAAGCTGTTTTGTGCCCCTGGGAGTGCTGAAAGTGCGGGCGCGAATAGACTGCCAGCCGAGCGGGCGGTGGGGGCGCGGAGGGCTTCAGGCGCAGCTGCAGCTGCTTGCTGGGTGCGGTGGCAGGTGGGTGGCCACGAGGGACTTCTGAAGGGGAGAGCTTTGACGGCAGTATTGGAGCTGGCTGCGCTTAACGTGGGGAGAGTTAAGGCCGCACTTGCTTCCTCGCAACCTCCAGAGTCCAAAGAGGAGGGTGGGAGGCCTCTGGCAAGGACCTCCAGAGGAGGCTGGTGGAGAAAGGGTCGTCCCCACTGCGGGACACAGAGCCTCTGTGGTCTGGAGTGCCCGAGTGTGACCTCAGTGTAAGCATCACTCCCCATATTTACACTTTGTTCACTGTTCAAGGTTTGTACCTTGCTAAAGGAGGAGGATACTGGACGGACCCAGCAAACTGCGGATGTTGAACATCCTGGAGTCACGGATGAGGACACTAATCACACACTTACTTGATGACGGTGTGTCAAGTTTCACTAGTAAACTGAGGTAGCCAGTTAGTGTTTGGGACACTTGCTGAGCTCCTTGCCCAGAGACTGTACCTGAACTTGTGGTATTTGAACAATTGCCCACTTGAAAGAGAACTGACAGCAACTGCGTAACAGTTCTACAAAGGATTGTTTTAGGATAGTTTTGAACCTATAATTCCATTAGGGCTTAATTTTCAAAGTATTGCTATTTTTATGAATCAAGTTCTGGAAAGGACCAAAATACCAGAATGAAATAACAGCTGCAGGTGAAAACTTTACAGGTGCTACTCCTGTGGTGGGTATTCTGAGTTTTGTTGTGGTATTAATAGAACAGAAGGTGTTCTTGGGCACAGGGTTTGTAGCTTACCAATGTGTTAGTTGCCAAAGCTTTAGGTTCCCATTGAGTTAGTAGATTTTTCATTACATTCAGTTTATTCCTCAGCAAAAAAAAAAAAAAAAAATTGTAACAAGTTTAAAAAATTTGTGACAAGAAATGGACTTGATTTACTAAAGATTAATGCTTCTGTAATGGTAAAATCATTTTGCCATGATAGAAGACATGTTTTCGGAAGAAGACATCTGGGAATACAAATCTAAAAGAAAACCAAAACTAGGACATCCAAATAATTGCTCTGAAAATATTCCAAAATCGGTTGAAAAAGCAACAGATGGGAAATACCAGTCAAGAGGAAAAGGAAACAAAAAGAGAAACAAAGAAGCTAAAGGAAGGGTGGACTGTGAAATGTGCCTTGGAGAAACAAGTTCCCAGACTTCTGTATCTTCTAGTCAGAATTCAAGTTGTGGAGATGGTGTTCAACAGTCCCAAGACCAGGAGACTACTCCAGGAAGGCACCGAAGAACTCAAAAGCTCAAGCAAGTGTCCCCAAAGACACGTCCAGTTCATGATGGGTACTGCCCGTACTGCCAGATGCCTTTTTCCTCATTGCTAGGCCAAACACCTCGATGGCATGTTTTTGAATGTTTGGATTCTCCACCATTGTCTGAAATAGGTAAGGTTACAAAAAAAGGTAAGAGTCTCTAAGTCGTCTAAAAGGCCTGCATGAAGTCAGATGTGTCTGCTCAGTGAAATGAGCAAGACAAGCAATAAACCAAAAGAAAGATGAGACACTATCCCAGGTGATGATATCATTGCAAAGAAAGTTACAACCCTGAAAACAGCTTTTTGTTTGTTTGTTTTGCTTGTTGTGTTCGTATGTGTCTGTTTGGGGGGTCAGGGGGAGGCGAGGAAGGTAGGTAGTACTGGGAATTTAACCCAGGGAGCTCTACCACTGAACTATATATCCCCGGCCCTTTTTAATTATTATTTTGAGACACTGTCTCATTAAATTGCCCAGACTGATCTCAAACTTTCAATTCTTCTGCTTCAGCCTCCCAAGTCACTGGGATTATAGGTGTGCACCATGACACCAAACCTAAATACAGTTTAAATGTATTTTTACTTTTTCATAAAGGTGTCTGAACATCTCAATTATTTTTCATAAATGTTAATTGAACCCTTACTGCACTAGGTACTTTCATTCTTTATACTTATTTGATTCACAATGAACATATAAGGTAGGTGATACTGAAATTTTATAGATAAGGGCTCTTAAAAGTTACATATCTTGGCCAATTTATTATCTTTTTGGGAACGGTACAGAAAATACATCCTGGTTTCTAAATATGATTGTGTTGTATTCATCAGGCTAGTGTATAGGAAAGAGTCTTAGTTGATTAAGATGTAATAACGAAAAATGTGCCAAATAACCGAAATAATGCTATGTGTTCGTTATCTTTAAACTTGAAGGTCATATTTAACATGTAGAAAATTCTACATATATGTAGAAAATTCTACATATATACATATATATATGAAGAGTTGAATGACATATTTTAAGGTCATCTTAATTTTTTTGAGAAAAAGATTATTTGAAAAGCAATTTAAAAGAGTATTTGATTTTAATATAATAAACTGATAAATAGTAGCTTGCAACACGATGCTGAATTGTATCAGTATTTTTATGCTGATCTCTTTATTGTGCAGTTAACAATATCTATCCTTGGAAGTCCTCAAGTCCTTAAAGAAGGACCAATGGTTTTCCACTGGTAGGTTACTTTGTAGTATTGATACTGTCAAAACTTACCCTGTAATACTTTTTTCTTCATTGAAATTTTCAGAGTGTCCTGAAGGCCTTCTGTGTACCTCAACAATTCCTTCTCATTATAAGAGATACACTCACTTCCTGCTTGCTCAAAGTAGGGCTAGTACTGATCCATTTAGCAGCCCATCACATGTGGCAGGTGGGAGTTTCAGTGAGACCCAGCCAGGCTTTTCTTGTAGCCTAGAGGAAAGATGGTCTCTGCATCAGAAACAAACTGAGAACTTAAAAAACATTTCAGATGATCCCTTGTTGATGACACAGTGTCTAAAAAAGTCTCAGCCTCCAACTGAAACCAATAAAAAGATTTCTTCTACAAATAGTCAGACCTCGCAGCAAGCTTTACATTTTACAGCATTTGTTAAGAATGACAAACTGGTAAGAGCCGGTTTGCCTTTTGCTGGGGCAGAATTAGACAGCCACAACAACTCGCAACGCACACATTTGCCATTGCCAGAAAATGACTTTGGCAGCTGTGAAATCTCCTATTCTCCACTTCAGAGTGACGAAGAAACTTATGATATAGATGAAAAGCTGGATGATTCACAACAGGAACTATTTTTTTCTGAGAGTTCTAAAGATGGCAGCCTAGAAGAAGATGATAGTTCTACCAGTTTTAAAAACCTCCCTGGTCCCTTCCTGAAGGACCTGGAGGAGAGCTGCCCCAAAGTGAATAGCTTCTTAACCCAGCAGAAGAACACTAAAGAATTGTATAAGTGCAGTGCTCTAAATTCTTCTCAACTTAGCTCCCAAACAGAGTGTAGTATTTTATATGATGATCCAGAATATGCTGATGGGCGATTTTTATTGTCTTCACCTGCATTAAGAGGGGAGCCTGCTGCTTCTAATTGTCAGACCACTAAAGCAAAGCCTGGTGAGCCAGACTTTCACGCATCTCAACCAAATAAACAGAAACAGGTGATTGAAAACCCAACTGTACCACTACTTCAGAGTAAGATGTCAGAACCTTTTGGAAGCCAGGGAGGAGAGTGTTTTCCTTTGACCCAAAGTAAAATTAGACAACTATCAAGTGAGAACTTCTGTACTAGAAATGATGCTAACTCTCCACATTTCTGCAGAAAGGTATTGGATGGTATGCTAGATGGTGGCGTTACAGTTTTGAATACAGGAAAAAAATCAAGTACACCTACTACTGCTAAGTCTCCTTTGAAGATATTGCCCTCTGATCCTAAGTGCAATGAAAGACATCCTTCTACCAAGGTAATGAAGCAGATGGATATAGGTGTGTATTTTGGACTACCACCGAAAAGAAAAGAGGAATCACTGAGGGAAAGTGCAATAGATGGGATGAACTTAAATCCCATTGTAAGTCCTAATGGAAAGAGGTCCCGGCAGTGCAAGAGGAAAGCAGAAAAATCTTTAAGTGATTTAGAATTTGATGCAAAGGACTTAAATGAGAGTCAACTTTCTGTGGACCTGCCTGCTGAGAGGTCACAGCGGCAAAGAAAAAGACATAAAAAGTCAAATTCACCACAGGAAAGAGCACGCGGAAAGAGGTCAGGCTACCTTATTAACAATACAGAATTGGGAACAACCAATTCTAGTGAAGACAATACCTTCAAAAAATCGGCTCATGGAAGGCTGCAAAGAGGTTACATGAGATTTTCAGACTCAGCTAATGCAGGGGAATTAAGAAAAAAGACATGTCCCTTCTATAAGAAAATACCTGGTAAGTTGGAACATCAGTGCTCAATTTATCAAAGACCCCCAATTTTTTAACTTAACATTCATTTTCTTATGTGTGTGTGTGTATGTATGTATGTGTATATATATATATATATATATATATATATATATATATGGAAACGATTTGTGCACTCTGTGTTTGCTTTTCATGATACTTCATGAGTCTCTAATATAATTTTCTTTTTTTTCTCTTTTTGGTACTCGGAGTCAAACCCAGGGGTGCTTCATTATTGAGCCACATCCCCAGGCCTTTTTATTTCTGTTTTGTGATAGGACCTCACTAAGTCATTTAGGGCCTCACTAAGTTGTTGAGGCTAGCCCTGAACTTGCAATCCTCCTGCCTCAGCTTCCCTAGTTGCTGGGATTACACGGTTGTGCCACTGCACCTGTTAGTTTCCTTTTTCTTATTTGCTTTTTATTGTTATTCCATTAATTCAGCAAACTTTTATTGAATATATTCTGCATACAAGTTACTATGCTAGTTCGGTACATATTACACATTACAGACAGACGAGTAGAGATTGAGGAAAGGCTCTAAGTTACTATTATGGATAAAAGGCAGTGTCTAAGCACTTGTGAGAAATATGAAGTCCTTTAAAGAAGAGAAATCCTACAGGTTGTACCTATCAAAATAAATGCCAAACATTCTAAAACCATATTAGAACTTTCCCTGCCTTTTCATATTTTTGTAATTTTTTTCTGCCTTCACAGATGAGTTTATAGAAAAATGTGTAGCAATTTTTTATTATATGTGTATGTGGTACTGGGGATTGAACCCATGGATTCTTTACCACTGATCCACATTCCCAGCCCTTTCTGTTTTTACTTTATTTTGAAACAGGGTCTCACTAAGGTATTAAGGTGCATAGGGTCTCACTGAGTTGCCAAGGCTGACCTTAAATTTGGCATCCTCCTCCTGAGCCTCCTGAGCCTCTGGGATTACAGGCCTGTACCACCACACTTGACTATGAATTTTATTATTGAAGAAATCCATAATTATTCTTAGAAGAATGTACAGTAAAGCAGCCAAAATATACTGGGTTTCAGAAGATTTCTGTTGAGGTGCTTTATTGATGTTTTGGAGCTATAATTTGTTCAATGTATTTGTGTAGAGAATAACACCAGTTTTATTTTTAATCATTGTATTATTTAATACCTTTCTGGACTTTAAGTAAGCCACGTGTCAAAAGCCTCTAGAAGTGTGAAAGCTGCTTGTTTACTTGCTTGTCACCTGTCCTCACACATGGCTCTTCTTTTTTAAACACATTTGAGGACTTGTTTTCCTTGTTTCCTTATGAGAAAACTTTTGAGGCATTTTTTTTTTCCATTCAAACCCCATAATGAAGTTCAGATTATATATGTCCTTTTTTAAAAAATATCTTTACTTTGTTTGTTTATTTGTTTTTATGTGGTGCTGAGGATCGAACCCAGTGCCTCACATGTGTGAGGCCAGTGCTTTGCCACCGAGCCACAACGCAAGCCCCATGTTTGTTTGTTTGTTTTTGTTTTTTTATATAGTGCTGTGGCCTTTAGAGGACCACAAACTTTTGTAAGATTTGGGATTATTTGGGGCCTCAACCATTTTTGGCCCCTTAGAAACATATCAATGCTGAAAATTCACCTTTCAGAATTTCCAAAACATTCTCCTTTTGCTGTTTTGCAGAAGTAAAGGATTTGCGGTGCCCAGTAAATGTTGTAAAAGCATTACAAAGAACTAATTGGTTTGTGATTGGTTTAAATTGTTTAAAATTTTATTTATTTGGTGGAGTTATACACACACGAAAGTCACTATACTGGAATATTTAGGAGAAACTTGCAAGACTTATTCTCACCTTTTACTAAATTTATGCAGCATAAGTTTTTAAATAATTATGGTTAATAGGAAATGAGGTGTGAAAAGAATAGGTGTTCAGCATCTGTGGTCAGATCAGGTGTCGCTGATATCCCCGTTGTTGGTTCACCCAGCCTGGTGGTGCTTTCCTTGCAGGAACCAGCTTCACAGTTGACGCCTTTCAGTACGGTGTGGTGGAAGGCTGCACGGCCTATTTTCTCACCCATTTCCATTCTGATCATTATGCTGGATTGTCTAAAAACTTCACATTTCCAGTCTATTGTAGTGAGGTAAGTTTTCATATTCTAAGTTCCAACTTTATAGACTGCTGCAGATTTTTAAGCAATTTGGTTACAAGAGGAATAATTAAATGGTTAAGACCTATCATTGTAGTAGGAAAGATATAAAAGAACAGATTCCAAGGTTTTAAAGGTTCTAAAATGAAATGAGTTAAAATCAGCAGTTATAGTCCATTTTTAAAAAATGTGTTTTGTTACATGAGGAGAATAGACAGACTATATGACATGTCGCACTTAAAAAAAGCAAACAGATTTCATTCAGTGAATGCTCTTTGAGTGCCTAAATAGGTATAAAAGGCAAAACACCTAACTTTAAAGAGCTTAAGCCTGCAGGGAATTGGTGTTTTAATAAAAAAATGGAGTGCCTAGGACTAGGGAGAAGAGAGATTTTTACTGTGTCACAGGCCAAGGTTAGAGAATGACATTTCATGTGAAAGAGATGCTTTGAACTAATTATTAAAAGGTGAAGACTTTAATCCCTATCACTAAAGGCTTTAGCTGGGATTTTATTTAGTATTCACAGCATTTAGTAAGTATCCTGTTTTTCTTAGTGAAGCTACCTGAGGCTTGCTGAGGTTAAGTGGCATGCCCAGGTCACACAGCAAGTAATGGCAGAGCCCAAATTTAAATGAAGGTATGTCTGATCACAGAATGAGGCAGAGAAAAGAGAAGAGAACTTTCCAATGAGAGAGTAGAATTTATGTAAACGCAGACACCTCAGAAATATACCTATTCTAGACTCTTCAGAAAATTCAGAAAGTCTGGAACACACTATGGGGAACCTCAGGAGACAAGCCCATAGCAATGGCAGGGCCCAGATAAGGGTTTTGCGCATGGTGCTGGGAATGATGGGCCTTTCACAAGTGAGGGAGGGCCGGTGTGGATGTTCAAGTAGAAAAGTGACAAGTTGTTTTAGAAAGGCCCTTCCTGACATTGTAGAGGGTTTACATGAATAGAAGTGTGAAAACGGGAGATTATTAAGATGTTGTAATTCTGAATTAGATATGAAACAAAATATGTAGTGTTTTGCTGTGTCAGAAGTAAGCACATCCTGTTTTGTAGATAACTGGAAACTTGTTGAAGAGCAAGCTTCATGTTCAAGAACAGTATGTCCATCCATTGCCGATGGACACTGAGTGTTTGGTGGATGGTGTCAGGGTTGTTCTACTTGATGCCAATCAGTGAGTATTATAGTCACCTTAATAATGGTTCATTTAAAAAAATATATTCAAAAGGAAATCACATTGGCATGGGTATTTACGACCTTTTCTGTTAGAACTGGAATGCCTGGTGCTTCTTAAAACTCCAGTAAAAGATGTTTCCACTTGTTAAAAAAATGTCCCCAATTACAGAATCAGAGAGTAAATATAGTGAAATCCTCTAAATGTTGCCTAACCCTTATTTTAATTTAATGGTTTTTCTTTTCAGTGCTAGCAATTGAACCCAGGGCCTTGCACATGCCAGACAAGCACTCTGCCCTGAACTGTATTCCCAAATCACTATACTTGACATATAAGACTCCATCTTTTTTTTTTTTTTTTTAAATACTTTCACATCTTGGTCTTCAAAAGATAACCTTTTGACCAGGAGCAGCGGCCCATTCCTAAAATCCCAGCAACTGGGGAGACTGAAGCAGGAGGCCAGACTAGCAATTTAGGGAGACCCTAAGAAACTTTGCAAGACTCTGTCTCAAAATAAAAAATTCAGAGCTGAGGGTGTAACTTGGTGGTAAAGCACCCCTGGGTTCAATCCCCAGTACCAAATAAAATTAACAAATAAATAAATACCTTTTGCAATTTTCTTTAATATCGTTTATATAAACCAAGAGCTCACACTCCATTTACATACTAGGGGATTAGTTGCACTACCATGCCCAGTATCCCCACTGCCACTTTTAAATTAAGAAATCCACCAGGCTTTAGATATTAAAGATGTAAATTGGACCTGGTACTGCACTCGTGTAATCCCACCTACTCCAAAAGCTGAAGCAGGAAGATTACAATTTGAGGTCAGCCTGGGCAACTACTTAACGCCCCTATCTAAAAATAAGAAGTAAAGAGGCCTGGGATATAGCTCACAGAGCGCTTGCCTAGTGTGTGTTGAGTCCCTGGGTTCTATCCCAGTACTGGGGGAAAAAATGATTCAGATTTTTCTTTCTTGGAAATTATTTCAACTCCCCCACCCCCACTTTTAAATGTCAAGTGCTGATGTTAGGGGTGGGGGCCACTAATCCTTGGGTTCCAGTTCTTGTGACTCCACTGGAAAGAATTTGAGTGAAACATACAGTAGGAAGCGAAGGTTTAATAGCGTGAGAAGCGGGATAGTGTGCAACATGGGGACTACACAGACCGCCTGGAGAGGGGCCGTGCGGTGCTCACAGAGTTGGGGTTTTTAAGGAAATTGCGTCCCTTATTCTTGCCTCAGTTTTCCTGTCCCCTTTAATTGGTTCATTACCCTTAGCAAACTTTCTCTGTCGGGGTCTTAATATTCTGGATGACAGGGCAGTTGGGTGGTTGTGACATGGTTTTTGGTGATAAGGAAGGGTTCCAGTAACTTGGTTGCAGGAGATGGTGTTGACATTTTCTGGAAACCATGGTTCCTCTTTAGGAGTTCATTAACTGTAGCTGAGGGGAGGTCTTGACATACCAGACGCCACTTCTCTGATGTTCTTCTGTTTCAGTGAGGATCCCTAGGATTTTAAGTCATGATTCCCCGAAGGGATTATAATTCTCTACAGCTTGGGGAAGGTTGGGCATTCCAGCTCTCGTTCCCAAATGCTGCTGGCTTAGATAAGTTTTCCTGCTGTTCCTATTTTATGATTCCTGTTTTTCTTGGTGCATAGGCCTGATATGTGTCCTTCATTGTCCTTTCCCTCTGCCCACCTATTCATGGCTAACTAACCTACCTAATACTATCAGCACTCATGTTCCCATAATACATGACTCTGCTTCTTTTCACTTTTCCTAGGATGTTAGTTAGCTCCTGTTCTGTTGAGAGCAGAGAAGTTTAGGGAAAGAAGTAAGACTAAATCCAAGTTTCCTAAAATCCAGGCCAATGCTTATACTTGGGGTTGCTTTCCTTCAAGTTTTTGTCTGCTAGCTCTGCTGCTATTTCGTTTTTCACTCATCATTTTAAGTTCTGAGTTTTTGAGCCAGCTTTATTGAGGTGTTCACCATAGATTACATAATTAGCATAACTATCTGTTCAAGCTAGTATGGTGTAGCCTGTGCCTCAAGCCTACAAATATTTGTCTTATCAGACAAAATATACCAGGGGCTTAGAGCTCATTCCCCAGGCCAATGACCAGTCCTGAAGTTGGCTTTTCTTGGAAATGTGCAGGGTTTGAGCTTCTCCTGCCTGGGGAGTCAGGCCTTTCCTGCACACCGTTCTTTCTTCAACCTAAGTTTCCTTGAGTTCTGAGTGTTGCATTCCCTCTGAGCACAGTGTTGTGTCACTGTGGTCAGCTAATGGTTTGCTAACTCATGAAGAAGGTACCCTTCCTTTAGGTGCGGTGTCTTTTGTAATCTTCCCTAAGCATGTTTGTGTTCAGCTGCCCAGGTGCCACCATGATCCTTTTCTACCTTCCTAATGGTGCTGCTGTATTGCACACTGGAGACTTCAGAGCGGATCCCAGCATGGAGCGGTCTCTTCTTGCAGGCCAGAAAATCCACACGCTGTACCTAGACACCACGTAAGAGAGGCGTTCATTGAGGGCTTCTTTTTCCTGCTGATAGCATTTATTCTGTATTTTATGAATTTGCTTGGTAATTAAAATGATGGCTTAATGATGATTATTATTTTAAGGTATTAGCAGAGGAATGCTATTTGGAAAATATACACTTGAAAAAGAGCATATGTGAGACTTCATGTCTTAATTGATGATAGCTCAGTTTTTTCATAGTTCATTTAAAAAATTTTTTTTTTGTATTGAGGATTTAATCCAGGGTTGCTTTACCACTGTACTACATCCCAGCCTTTTCTATTGTTTTATTTTGAGACATGGTCTTGCTAACTTGCTGAGGCTGGCCTCAAACTTGAGATCCTCCTACTCTGTCTTCCAAGTCGCTGGGATTACAGGCATGTGCCACCACACCTGGCTATTTTTGAGTATGTTTATAGAACATCCTGTTACTGAAAGGAGGAAGAAAAATACCCTTATAGGTTATTCTTCCAAAGTGTCTGTGAACATGTCAGATAAAAACAGGAAAATGATGCCAAATTGCCATTCTGTTTCTGAGTATTGAAAGGTAACTTATAAGTGATAGTTTGAATTTTAACATAGTAGTACAAACCATTACATTTTAATTTATAAATAATCTATATATCAAGGTATAATTGACAGATAAAAGTAGTATATATCTCTGGTATATAGTGTGATATTATATACTATAATACCTCATCAATTTGTTATAAATTAATTCTATTAACTAGTTCAACCTGTTGGAAGAAGTTTAAATGGGATATTTTAATAAAAAATGGCCTTTCCACATCCAGTTTTCTTACAGTAACTGATTTTTTCCATTCTTTTATGTCTACTTTAAGTAGTAGATAAATTAAGAAAATAAGTGAAAGCCAGGCATGGCAGTCAGTGCATATCTATAATCCTAGCAGTTTGGGAGGCTGAGGCAGGAAGATCACAAGTTCAAGACCAGCCTCAGGAATTTCGCCAGACCCTGGGGGTTGGGATATAACTCAGTGGTAAAGCACCAATAGGTTAAATCCTCAGTACCCCAAAAAGAAAGAAACGAAAGAAAGTTAGAAAACATTGTTACATAGTTCTAAAGAAAATTCTGTATTTCATCATGAGTGTTGATAGGAGAAAGGACTGAATTTTTCCCTCTTTTCTGGTGATTGACTAGCAAAAGTGATTTTGAAAATTGGGGAAAATGTATTTATTGGGTATTTGTAATTTATTACATTTTAGTGAAATAGTGCTTACCTTTCATCTCAAAATATGTATAGATAGTATTTTAAAATTAATCTTTCACTGGGTGTTAGTCTGTTTAGGCCCAACTGGATCTTTTGTGTTCCTTTAATTCTATATATATTTCTGTATCTGCAAGAAGAGATAGTATCAACCATGTAACTATGAATTGATCTAAACATTAAATTCATGTTTACTTTCATTATTTTAAATTCTTTAGTCCACATATAATCCGTATCAGTAGTATTTTCTGTGATAGTATTTGAGTTGGAAAGAAAAGATACTGAGAAACATAATCGATAGCTAAAATAGGAGACTGGCTAGAAATATTCTTAGAAGGAAAAAAGTCTTGAGAAAGGCAATTTCTTTGAAGTTGATAAAAGAAATGTACTTGAGCACATGTCTATAATCCCAAAAACTTGGGGGGCTAAGGGGAAGGATCACAAGTTTGAGGCCAGCCTTGGCTTTAGTGAGACCTTATCTCAAAACAGGAAAAATAAAATAAAGGGAGTGGTAAAGCACTCTTAAGTTCAATTCCTGTTACTAGGGGGAACAAAAAAAAGGAAAAAAATCCTTAAAAAGAAATGAAAACTCACAGTCCCCATCATAAATTAGCCATAACTTGTAGCAAATAACTTTAACTCCAGGAAGTGACATAACCATTGTGGTTTTAATATATTATACTGTTGTCATATGTGATTTGCTGCAGCTTATCTCCTAAAATAGCATCTATGTTAAGACCATAGCTTTCTTCTGCTCTTTTAATAAGTACCATATTTCCATATTAAGCTATTGCAGCCCAGAGTACACCTTTCCGTCTCAGCAAGAAGTTATCCAGTTTGCCATCAACACCGCCTTTGAGGCTGTAACTCTAAACCCCCGTACTCTGGTTGTCTGTGGCACTTACAGTATCGGAAAAGAGAAAGTCTTCCTAGGTGGGTGGTAGCTGTATCTAATTTACATTAACGTATTATAAACACCAGATTCTTTTTGCATAAAGCCCTGTCAGTGTCTACTCCTGCATTTGTACATATTTTCTGAAATTATCCCATATTATCTTTGAAGTTGAAGAAAGATTCATAATATTTGATACATTTAAACTTTGAAAGGCTCAACTTTATTGAAACATTTGATGAATATGTTTATCTTAGTACTTATAAGATATTTATAAACAAGTGCCCATGTGACATTATTATTTTCATTAACTTTGAAGTAATGCATAGTTGTATCATCCTTTGAGGATACCCGCCAGTTAACTTTTGTTGCTTTATCTATGTATATATTACACTAGTTTGTCTAGGAGATATTGTTCTAATTTTGTGGGGTACTTTGATTTCTTCTTAAGTGTGATCACATTATCTCAATCATTAAGATATGAAGTGTTAACCTAACATGGTGGTACACGCCTGAAATCCCAGTAACTCTGGAGGTTGAGGCAGGAGGATTGCAAGTTTCAGGCCAGCCTCAGCAACTTAGTGAGGCCCTGTCTCAAAATAAAAAATAAAAAGGACTGGGGATGTAGCTTAGTGGTAGAGCATCCCAACCCCCAGTACCAAAAATAAAATAAAAAGTAAGTTCTTTGGCATTATCACAATTTATTTCACACAGATAAACAATTAAATGATTCAGCCACTTAGAGATATAGTAAATGTACAAATGTTTTGAATTTGTTTTTGATAAATTCTTATTTTAAAATGTGATTAAATTACAATTTTATGATTTTTCCATATGCCGTAATGTTTCTGTCTTTAACCTTTTGTTTTGCCTGTAGCTGTTGCTGATGTTTTAGGTTCAAAGGTGGGCATGTCCCGAGAAAAGTTTCAAACATTGCAGTGCCTCAATATGCCTGACATTAATCCCCTCATCACCACAGACATGTGGAGTTCATTGGTCCACCTTCTCCCAATGATGCAAATTAATTTTAAGGTAAGGACTCAAGAGAAATGTTTTTTAGGGTGAACCAGAAAAAGATCTAATGATCATAAACTAGAATCCTATTTTACTTGCATATAACTTCAAGAAATTCAGTTATAATGAAATCACCTATTTTAAAATTTGCCTTAGAAAGTCTTTCAAGGGAATTCTAAATGTTTTTAGTTCTTCTGAATATGTAACTCTAAAAAGTAGTTTGTGTGCCAGGTGTTTAGAAAATAAAGAACTGTCATACAGGAAGGAACAGAAATAGAAAAGAATGCATGTGTGGTTCATTGAATCCTCCATGTCAAGATCACTTTCCAGTTCTTTCTGGGTGGGTGGTAGAAGTGAGGGGAGAATTCTGAGTTCTTACTTCAGGTCTGTTCTGTTCTGTTCCATATTAATATTAAACCTCTGTAACATTGGTGTGTGTTGAAAATTTACTTATTGAGGATTAGATCAAATAGTGGAAGTTCCTGAGAGGAAGTTCTAGCATTAGTTCTTGGTTATAAACTGAGGCACATATGACACAGCCTTACCGTGATTTGGGGGCTTGTCTGTCAGGTTTGTTTACATAAAGAGATTTATTCCATATATTTACATTTTGATACTTGTCAATGGAATATTTCGAAAAATACTGAATATTTTGTATTAAACACAATTCAGAACATAACGCACAAAGAAATATGTTTTTACTTTTGCTCTAATATTTGTAAAGTAACTTTTTTGGAACTTTTTGAAATGGGATGCTAATTACTATTTCTGTCTCTGTTTTATAAATAATAATACGTTGTGTAAAGAAAATGAATGTTAATCCTTGATTAGGGAAATTCTTTCTGGTCTAACTACTCCTTTTTTCTGTGAGACTAAGGAGAACTATTTATGGCCTATTTTCACGAGTATGTGTAATCCATAAAAATTTTAGGCATGCCTGGCATTTGTCCTAGCACATCTGTAATCCCAGGGACTTGGGAAGCTGAGGCAAGAGGATTGCAAATTTGAGGCCAGCCTCAGAAATTTAAATGAGGCCCTAAGTAAATTTAGCAAGACTCTGTCTCAAAAGTAAAACAATTTTTTTTTAAAAAAAGGGCTGGGGATGTGATTCAATGATAAAGAGCCACTAGGTGAAATCCCTGGTACAAAAAAAAAAAAAACCCAAACCCAACAATTCAGGCACAATCAAGCTAGAGTATTGTCCATTATTTCTCCCCTACCCCAGTACTGGGAATTATACCCAGGGGTGCTCTACCAGGGTGTTCTTCCACTGAGCTATATCCCTATTCCTTTTAATTTTTTAATTTGTCATGATAAATTCCCCATGCTGGCTGGAGACTTGAGATCTTCTTTCATAGTCTACCTTGTCACTGGAATTACAGGCATGTGCCACTATGCCTGGCTTGTCCATTGTCCATTGATGGTTTTGTTTTTGTTTTTTGGTACTGAGGATTAAACCCAGGGGTGCCCACTGAGCTATTTCCCCAGTACTTTTTATTTTCTATTTTGAGACAGGATCTCACTAAGTTGCTGAATGTCTTGCCAAATTGCTGAGGCTTTTCTCAAATTCAGGATCCTCCTGCATCAGGTTCCACAGTTGCTAGGATTATAGGCGTGCACCACTGGGCCGGGCACCTGATGTTTAATCGAGACTTGCAGATGTATTTTAAATGTGGGAGGCAATTAGTGTGAAGACTAATGAGATGTCATCAGTCATAAGGATGTCCAGTAATATCCTGAAAAGGGTATAGCATATTTTAATCATTTTATTTTATAGTTTTATTTCCAAGTTTGTTTTTATTTTATAGTTTTTTTTATTTTAAATTTATTTATTCTAATTTGTTATACATGATAGCAGAATTTTTCATGTCTGGTTGTACACAAAGTAGAGTCACACCATTCCTGTCTTCATACATGTACTTAGGGTAACGATGTCCATCTCATTCACCCATCTTTCCTATCCCCCTGCCCCTTCCCTTCTTGCTCCCTCCCCTTTGCCCTATCTAAAGTTCTCCATTCCTCCCTTGCTCCTCACCCCCAATCCCCATTATGGATCAGCATCCTCATAGAAAACATTCACCATTTGGTTTTGGGGGATTGGCTTACTGCACTTAGCTTAATATTCGCCAACTCCATCCATTTACCTGCAAATTCCATGATTTTATTCTCTTTTAATGCTAAGTAATATTCCATTGTGTGTATATACCACAGTTTCTTTATCCCTTCATCTACTGAAGGGCATCTGGGTTGGTTCCACAGTTTAGCTATTGTGAATTGTGCTGCTATATACATTGGCTGCATCACTGCTGTAGGCTGTTTTTAAGACCTTTGGGTATAAACCAAGGAATGGGATAGCTGGGTCAAATGGTGGTTTCATACAGAGTTTTCCAAGGAATCTCCATACTGCTTGCCAGATTGGTTGCACCAATTGGCAGTCCCACCAGCAATGTATGATAGCCCTTATTCCCCCACATCTTTGCCAACACTTATTGTTTTTTGTATTCTTAATATCTGCCATTCTGACTGGAATGAGATGAAATCTTAGAGTAGTTTTGATTTGCATTTCTCAATTGCTAGAGATGTTGAATGTTTTTTTCATATATTATTGATTAATTGTATATGATCTTCTGAGAAGTGTCTATTTAGTTCCTTGGCCCATTTACTGATTGGGTTTTTAGTTTTTTTAGTGTTAAGTTTTTTTAGTTCTTTATATCCCTAGAGATTAGTGCTATATCTGATGTGCATGTGATAAAAATTTGCTCCCACTCTGTAGGTTCTCTTCACCTCACTGATTGTTTCTTTTGCTGAGAAGAAGCTTTTCAGTTTGAATCCATCCCATTTATTGATTCATGATTTTGTTTCTTATGCTATAGGAGTCTTGTTAAGGAAGCTGGGGCCTAATCTGACATGATGAAGATTTGGGCCTACTTTTTCTTCTATTAGGCTCAGGATCTCTGTGGTTAGCCATCAGGAAACTGCAAAGCGTTACCAGACCGAGACACCACTTGACATCCACTAGGAGAGCTGTAATAAAAGTGATGGTAACAATTGATGAGGATACATGGGATTGGAACCTGGATCTTTGCTGGTGGAATTTGAACTGGTGTAGCTATTTTGGGAAACAGTTTGGTAATTCCTTAAACCATATCATATGGGGTGGCCATGTGACCCAGCCATTTCATCCTGTATGCCCAAGAGAATTAAAAGCACACGTCTGCACAAAACTCCTATGGAAATGTTTATAGCAACGTTACCCATAGTAGCCCCAAAGTCAAAACAACCCAAATGCCCATCAAATAGTGAATGTTTAAATGAAATGTCATCTATGACTAGATCTATTCATAAAACAGAATATTATTCACCTGTAAATAGGAATGAAGTACTAATGCATCTGTAATATGATTGAACCTTGAGAACACTATGCCAGACAAAAGAAGCCGGACACTGAAGGCTACTTATTGTATGATCCACTTACATGAATTGTCCAGAACATTAAATCCGCAGACAGAAAGTGGGTTAGTGGTTCCCAGGGCTTGAGGGAGAGGAAATGGAGAATGACTGCCAGTGCTCAAGGTTTCTGTTCCAAAAGGGGATAGTGGTGATGGTTGCCCAGCTTTGTGAAAATACTAGAAACTGCTTAATTGAACTCTTAAAGGGTGGGGCATTTATCTGCCTGGAAGCCAAGGGGGGTTAAGAAAAGAATGAGGGTCAAGGAAATGAAGACAGGAAATACAGAACATGTGCCCAGAAAAGGATTTGTTTGTTTATTAGAAATGAGGGGTTTTATATTGTGAGTCACAGGGAGAAATAGAAGATAACTGAGGAAGGCAGTGATTGATGAAGTAGGGTTTCTGAATGGGATTTGGAACACAGGTAGATTCATCAGCCCATGACTTTACAGGCTATTTTCTGATATATGTGGCCTTCTTTTAGACAGCTTGTATTTACGAGTCCAAACTGAAACAAGAATTAAATCTTCAAGCAGCTACAAACTCAAGAATTTTTATGTAAGAATTCAAACTGGTTTTAAGGATTCAGAAATGTTCATTAAATCTATATTTTTAATACTCATTGTCTGTATTTTGCCACTTCTAAGAACTTATGCTAAAAAAGGAGTCCTTTGTGACAAGATCCGTCTGTGAAGCTCCCTGATGATGGGAGTTAGAGAAAGCTAAGAAAGGGCCGAGGATTTCCATTAAACCAGACCCAGAGGGCGGGGCTTAACAGATCCTCTGCCTTGGAGCCTGTCAGCCTCCAGAAGGTGATGTCTATATCCTCTCTGCTCCTCCCTGATCTACCTGGCATAATCCTGGAGCAGATGATTCCTCCATTAAAGTGTCCTGGTATTGATGATATTTTTTGAAGATTTCTTTTCTTCAAAACACAGATGTAGCAGAAGCTGTTGGTTATCATGGTGTTATATTTTAGTTAGTAATTAGATAATTTTTTTAATCAGCCAAAAATAATTTTATTGCATCAGAGGTAATGACTTTTTATGAAAAGATAAGCCTAATACAGTTTTCTGGGTATCCAAGGCCTTCCTAAAATCCTCTGAAAAGCTATAAAAAGTAATCCCTGGGTCCTATTTATGCTATATGGTTGATTACCACTGCTGATTTAAACCTGATTGGCCAAATGTGGTAAAACATTTTAAAAACAATGATGCTATAGATGATTGTCTTCATACTGAAAAATAGTTCTAGTGACATTGCCAGAAGGACTTTTCTCACAAATTGGTTCAATAAGCAGAAATGGTCATAGAACAGAGATTTTGTGTCAACTAAACTGTTTATAATAAATTTCCTCACGAGAGTTGTTCTGAAATCATGGTAAATGGACAACTGGTAACTGTTGACAGTCTCTTCTGAAGGTTGGCTTGTATAACATCTTAAATTTATGTTTGTGGCGCTAGATTGCCCACATGGTGTTTTTGTGGTCACTGATTTGTTTCATAAAAAGCAGAAATTAGTTCTCTTTTTAAATTGTCCTGGGTGTTTTGAAGTAACAAATAGGAATGGTTGGGTTGATGACATATATTGAAAATTGAACTCTGAGCTAATGGCATTTCATGTATAATTACACTAAAACCCAGTTTCCTGTCTTGTCCTTTCTCAGTGAAGGCAAGGGAGGGAGAAGACACTGGGTTAGCTCAGGCTTAGACAACCAAGGCAGCAGCTTGAAACTTTGCAGAGAATATTGTAATGGAAGCTTATTTGTACATCCATCCATGCAATTTTATTCCTTCCTTCCTTCCCTCCCTCCCTCCCTCCCTCCCTCCCTCCTTCCTTCCTTCCTTTCTTGTAGTTAGTTAGAAATAGGACTGTTTTGTGGTAGATGCTCTTGTATTGACCTCAAATTAATAAACAGGTAATTGATGCAAAAGAAAAATCCAAGGATTTTCATTTCATCGGTGAAGTCTATTTTATTATTAATCCATTCTAATGAATTATTGAGTAATTGAAACTGGATGTTATTCTGGGCTGGGGATATAGTTCCATTGGTAGAGTGCTTGCCTCATATGCTGGATTCAATCCCCAGCCCCACCAAAAACAAAAACAAAAAACTGAAACTGGGGTATTATTCTTAAAACTAAAAGTATTAAGATTTTTTTAAAAAAATCTCTCGTGCCACTATTATCCTTAGTTGGATTTCTCTTAGCTCTCAAAGATTGAAGTTTGGTTATCAATTTTCTAAGAGTTTTATCAAATATCATTTATTGTGACTTTGGTTTGGAGTTCCATTCAAGATATAGTTTTTAGAATACTAGGGATTGAACCCAGAGACCCTCTGCCACTGAGCCACACTTCTAGTTTGTTTGGTTTTTTTTTTGTTGTTGTTGTTTTTTGAGACAGGCTCTCCTTAAATTGCCCAGGCTGGCTTGAACTTGTGAATTTCCTACCTCATCCTCCCAAGTCACTGAGATTATTCATGTGTATGGGCATGGTAATGCCCAACTCTATTCAAGATTTATAAAAGGAGCATATTACTTCCAATTATAGTGGCATAAAGAGTTTGAAATTTAATCTAGTTCATGTTTAAATGGTAGAAAGGTGTGACCACCTGAGAATAATGCTAATGTGATCTTTAAAATATATATCTGGAGGCTGGGGTTGTGACTCAGTGGTAGAAGGCTCATCTGGCATGCATGAGGCACTGGGTTTGATTCTTGGCATCATACATAAGTAAAAAATATTGTATCCACCTAAAATATATATCTGTGTTGAGTATAATGTCGCCATCCTTACAAAATTCTATCCTCTGTCAGTTTATGTGTATGGAGTCATGTGGGCACTGATGTTTACCATTAGTGATGTTAGAGTCTCTTGCAGTAGGATTTGGAGAGAGGTGTTTCTTTGCTTTTTTTTTTTTTTTTTTTTTTTTTAACTATCTGAGTTGTAATTTGCTTACATTTAATTACTCGGTGTTTCAAGTTGTTTCCTCATATTTTTTAACAGTACCTGAACTTGTTTAGATAAGCAAAGAAAAGCTGATATCTATTCAAAGATTCCATTTCTTTAGAAACATGGCTGCAAGGTCATTGCAAGCCAGTCTTAGCAACTAAAAGCTTCTCGTGACCCTGCCAATGTGACATCTGTAATCATCCTGCTTAATTCCACATGACCCATCTCCATTGACTCCTGAATCAACGTGCTGATTTTTTTTTTTTTAAACAGGGTTTGCAGAATCATCTGAAGAAGTATGATGGGAAATATGATCGGATTTTGGCTTTTCGACCCACAGGATGGACGCACTCTAGCAAGTTCTCCAGCATAGCAGATATTACTCCTCAGACCAAGGGAAACATTTCAATATATGGTATATTATTAAATTTTCTCACATTTAATGTTTATAATCATTTGCATTTCTTAAAATCAACATCCCAAAGCCAAAACAAAACCAAGCACAAAATAATTTAACAATTCCTGAGGGTTATTTTTTGTTTATTTGCTTGTTTGGGGAGGGTATACTAGGGCTAAGAGGAGCTTTCCCATTGAGCTACATCTGCAGCCCTTTTTTGTTGTTTAATTTTTTATTTTGAGACAAGGTCTTACTAAGGTTCTGAGTCTGATCTTTAACATGAACTTGTAGCCCTCCTGCCTCAGCCTCTCCTGGGATTACAGGCATGGATCACTGCATCCGGCAATAATTCAGGAGTTTTAAATCTCTCTACAACTCTAAACCTCTGTCTAGTCCATTGTACACTGATACAGAGGAGCTCAACCAATAGATAGGTATTGACAGATTATTTCCTTTGTGTGATCAATGATATTTAGGGGAAATTGCAGAACTACTGAAAGGAGGAACTCAGTGCCTATAAATGGAAGTCTAGATTATGCATGAAATTGTGAGCAGGAGGAGAATGGCTTAGATGTGGTGACAGCAGGAGGGACAGACTTGACTTTGGTGTTCCCCTCTCCTGGAGGGAGTTCACCATTGCCCGCAGAGCTGGCTTAGTTCCATGGACGGCTGGTGTCACCAGACCAGCGGCTTAACCTTCAGCCTCTGAAGACTCTAGCTGACTCAAAACAGGTCCTCCAACCCTTCTCTCTGGTATTTGATCTTTAATAAAGGAGATAAAGGGATTTTGAGGGTTTCATCTTTTTCTAATTGTTTATGTATGTAAAGCTTGGGACTAGAACCTGCTTACTTGTTCTAGAAGTCAAATCTCCTGCCTGCCATTCTTCACATTTGACTTATATTTCTTTAAGATTTTCCTGAAATCTATAGCTGAGTGAAGTTTTTTAAATAAATGAATAAAAATAAGAAAATCCCAATTAAATGGGACTCTCTAGAAATGGATATTATTAAGTATATGCATAGGAAAGTAATGAGTTTTTTTCAGTGTTCTAAGTTTTATATTATTTTTAATGTTTTAATCTTTATTTTCTATAAAAATACCAAATTTTCTTATGAGAACTAAAGCACCAAGGAATTTGGACAATAATGCTCAGGATTACTTTTCTGTTTTATTTTGCACTCGAGAACTTGTTTGGTTTTTATTTATTTAACTTTCCTATGTACATATATGAATATACCACAGTGAATTTCACCATCATGTACATCCATAAGAAATGAATTTTAAAAATAACTATGGGTAAATAGAAGAAAGATCAGTAGGGGGAAGGGGGCAGATAGTGGGAGAGGGAAGGGGAAGGAAAGCACTTTTTTATTAGTTTGATATTTAGTAGGCAACATCTTCACATTGGTCTTTTCAGGAATTCCTTACAGTGAACACAGCAGCTACCTAGAGATGAAGCGTTTTGTCCAGTGGCTGAAACCGCAGAAAATTATACCTACCGTAAATATTGGCACCTTGAAATCTCGGCACACAATGGAGAAATATTTTAAAGAGTGGAAATTGGAAGCTGGATATTGATGATACTGCCACAGAGGATTCAGCAGTAGTTAAGTTCCTTGGGTGTAGTTAGTAGTCAAATGGTATGAAATAAATTTTATGTGAACTGCCCCATGAAAATCACATAATTTATTTTCTCATTTGTATTTGAATAAGGTATTCATGGTGCTGAATGCCTCTCAGAATCATCAAAAGTAGCTGGGTACAGTGATACATTCCTGTAATCCCAGTGACTTGGGAGGATCAGGAGTTTGAGGCCAGCCTCAGCAACTTAGCAAGGCCCTGAGCAATTCAGGAGACCCTGCCTCAAAAATGGCTGGGATGTAGCTTAGTGGTTAAGCATCCCTGGGTTCAATCCCTGGAGCCAAAAAAAACAAAAAACAAAAAAATTCATCAAAAATAACTGAATATCCTCAATTTCTTGCCTCTTCTTCCTTGGAGGCATTTATATTTCACATTATGGTTTAGGGGAGAAAACAAAGGCAGTTTTGGTGAGCAAAAGAATTCATAGTGATGGAAAAACTATACCGAAAGTATTATATACAAGTAATTATGTATCTTTGAAATTATGAAATAAAATTTTTATATGATATATATTCTTAAATAAAAATTACTATAAAATTTGATAGAGTGTCTTTTGGTGGGTTTTGTCATTGTTTTGTTTCCTTTTTCATAGACTTTTTTTTTTTTTTTTTTTTTTTAAGAACAATTTTAGGCACAGAGAAAGATTGAGCAGAACAGGTTTCCATACCCCTACACCCACATGTCCTCTCCCATTAACAGCATCCCCCACCAGGAAGGTACTTTTGTGACAGTTAGTGGACTTATATTGACATATCAGAAACACCTTGGTCCACAGTTTAACTGGGGCTCACTGTTGGTTTGGTACATTCTGTGGGTCTTGAAAAACCTACGAGAGCACATCTATTATTACCGTATCATACAGAATTGTTACAGCGTTAGAAATTCTCTGCACTCTTCCTGTTCATCCCTTTCTCCCTCGTAGGCCCTGACAGTCACTGATCGTTCCACTGTCTCCACAGATTGGCCTTTTCCGACACGTCCTATGGTTGCAGTCTTATACCATGTGCTTTTTCAGACTGGCTTTTTTCACTTAGCAGATAGTGGGAGAGGGAAGGGGGAAGGAGAGCACTTTTTTATTAGTTTGATATTTAGTAGACCATGTCTTCACATTGTTCATTCAGGAATTCCTTACAGTGAACACAGCAGCTACAATTAGAAGAAGATGATAGGTCTGTGGCTCAGCGGCAGAGCGCTTGCCTAGCATGTGTGAGGCACTGAGTTCGATTCTCAGCACCACATATAAATAAATAAATAAAGGTCCATTGAAAACTAAAAAAAAAAATTAAAATAAAGAAAAAAAAAAAGATGAAATCCTCAAAATCCCTTTATCTCCTTTATTAAAGATCAAGTACCAAAGAGAAGGGCTGGAAGGCCTGTTTTGAGTCAACTAGAATCTTCAGAGGCTGAAGGTTAAGCCGATGGTCTGGTGTCCTATCTTTTCCTGCCTGGATAGCTTCCCCCCACCCCTTAATGCTGAATTCTATTGCAGTGTCTGGATGCACCACAATCTGCCAATCCCCTCACCTGTGGAAGCACATCTTATGAATAAAGCTGCTATAAACATCTGTATACAGGTCTTTATGGGTAGTGGGTACAAAAATTTTGAACGCCTTTGGGTAAATATAAAGAATTGAAATTGCTGGGTCACATGGTAAGAGTATGTTTAGTTTTATAGGAAACTGCCAAATTGTCTTCCAAAATTGTTATCCCATTTTGTATTCCCACCAGCAAAGAGTAGATGAGGTTCCTATTGCTCCTCGACCCCGCCAGCATTTGGTGGTGTCAGCATTCTAGATTTTGGTCATTGTACATAGTGGTTTCTCATTGTTGTTTTAATTTACATTTTCCTAATGCCAAATTGTGTGGAACATTTTTTTCATATGGTTGTTTCTTATCTGTATTATTCTTTGTTGAAGAACTTGCTGAGTCTTTTGCTCAATGTTTAAATTAAGTTGTTAGTTTTCTTATTGCTGAGTTTTAGAGTTTTTTTGTATATGTATGTATGTATAAAAAAACAGTGGTGGTGGGGGTGCTACTGCAATTTGAACCCAGTGTTGCTTTGCCACCAAGCTATATACCAGCCTTTTTTATTTTTTATTTTGAGACGTTGTCTTGCTAAGTTGCTTAGGGTCTCACTAAATTGCTGAAGCTGACCTCAAACTTGCAATCCTTCTGTCTCAGCCTCCCAAATCGTGGGATTATAGGCATGCACCACTATGCCTAGCCTTATTAAGGATTTTTTTTGGTTCTATATGCATCAGAAATATTGGTCTGTAGTTTTCTCATAATGTCTGTGTAGTTTTGATAATAGGGTAATATTGGCTTCATGGAACAAGTTAAGGAATATTTTTTGTTTCTATATTCTGAAAGAGAAGATATATTCCCTCCCTTTTTTTACACCTTGGTACTGGGTATTCGAGCCAGGGCCTAATGCATGCTAGCCAATAATTTCTTCCTTTAAATATTTGGTAGAAATCACCAGTGAACCTGTTTGAGCCTGGTACTTTCTGTTTTGGGAAAGTTATTATTGATTCAATTTCTTTTAATAGATATGGGCCTGGTATCAGTTATTGTTTCCTCTTGTGTGAGTTTTGAAGATTGAATCTATCAAGGAATTGGCCTATTTCATCTATGTTATCATGTTCTTTTGGCTTTTAGGATTTACAGTTGCAATATTCATGCAGTGTTACAAAATCTCAATTGAATTAATTAAACATTTGACTTTAAGAAGATGATTCAAAGAGTCTACGTAGTCACATAATGAAGGATGCAGAAAAGTTTGCATGAATGGTGTTTATCTGAACTATTTACTCAAAAGATTGGTTAACTATAAGTTTACACTGCAGTATTATTATTTTCTAAAGTGGAATTATGTAATTTATGGATCTATATCTCTATAACTTAGACTGAGTAGTTGATCCAAAGTGAAAACTTGGGCCAATGCAAGTTTAAAAAAATGCTTTTATGAGACCTAAATATGAAAATTACAAATGGAATGAATGTATATATGTATATATATGTGTGTGTGTGTGTGTGTGTGTGTGTGTGTGTGGCTTTAACTCCAGCAATGACATTAATTGGGGTATTTCTTGATAAGCTTTCATAGAAACATTCACAAAAATTTTAATAATTATTTTAATCATGAGAAGGAATGCTTACTGCATTCTACTTGGAACTTTTCAGAATTTTATCAGCTTGGCTTGTACTTCATTGTGGTGGTAAAACTTCTGAGGATTACGTTTAGTGGGGGAAAAAAAGCTTTTAGGAGGCATGGTCGTAGTGTTTAGCTCTTCTCATTTACTTCAGTTACAAATTTTAAATATTTTAACTTGTCTTGACGTTATAATTAGAAAAACTTTATATAGTCCATAGTTACAGGTATTTTAACATAGGGGAGCTGGTCAAGTCATTCAGGGTCATTTAAATTTATTAACTAGTTTTTTTTCCCCCTAGAACTGTCATTTTCTCTCTTTTTATTTATTTAGTTTTATTTTGAGACAGGATCTTGCTAAGTTGCTTAAGGCCTCAGTAAGTTGCTGAGTCTTGCCTTGAACTTGTCATCCTCCTGCCTCAGTCTTCTGAATTGCTAGGATTGTGGGCCTGTATCACTGCACACGGTAGCCATGTTGTCTTAAGAGCAGTACCAGCCTTTTTATTATCCTGTAGAAAGATACCTTTCCGCATGAACATCACGATTTATGGCAGCTTGGAATGATTTTGTTTTGTTACTATTCCTGTGAAACATGCATAGCCTCATTTAGGGGACATACCAAATAGTTTTACAAATAGGTCACAACCACAACCAAATTTTTCTAGGCTGTCTTGAGAATTGTATATGGAATTCTTAATTCTAATACCCAACACTTTGGTAAGTTAAAAAAAAATTAATACTGAAATGAAAGATGAAGAAATCTACCATCAACCCCAAATAAACGAATGACCACTTGGTTTATTTATTTTTTTAAGGTACTGGGGATTGATTGAACACAGGGGTGCTTCTAGCAGTGAGCTTCATCTCCAACTCTTTCTTGTTTTTACACAGGGTCTCACTAAGTTGCTGAGGCTGGCTTAGAACTTGCCATCCTCCTGCCTCAGCCTCATGAGTCAATAGAATTATGGGCATGCACCACCACACCCAGCTTGACAGTTCTTAACATCCTAAGTGACTTAGAGAGAAGGGGAAGTAGAAAGAAGCTGATATAGGGGGAAATGCTTACTGCATTCTACTTGGAACTTTTCAGAAAGCTTCTTTATAGCCTTACCTGACATTGAATGTAATGTAACCAGGTACACTGACGCTTGAAAAGATGGTGACTGGCTTTTGAACTTCACATAGTGTTTTTGAGGTTCATACATGTTTTGAGCTAATAGGAAAACCTTTCTCCCTGATGTCAATGCCTCTTAATTCCAATTTATCACTATTTAAAATGGGCCTAAATACAAGATTGTTTTGCGGGGCATCTAATTTAAAATAATGCTGTTATTGAGTTATATTCCCATGGATGAAGTGTGTCCAGAATTTATTTGGTCCTGAATAACCATTAATAGCTAAGGAACTAAGAAGTGAGTCATCTTCAGGTACTTCAGAATCCATATTAGCTTATGACTTACCTAATTATTTTACTCTGTTCATTTAGTTCATTTGGTATTGATCTTAGAAGCCAATAAAGAATTTATGTGAAATCAGCAAAAGCATAAATTAATGGTCATGGATAATAGAATAGTTCAGCTATGACAACTTCCTTTTAATCTGAGTACTTGGAAGCTTCTAATTTGGTGGTCATTTTAATATATTAATTATGTTTCATCTTTCCCCTTCCTCTCAAAAGTGTCTACCCTTTCCTCCCAAAAGACATATTCTTTATGCAGTAACATCTTCTCCTCATGGTTTTACAGTTCATTTTTTTCTTTTTAAAAATTATTATTATTATTATTATTATTATTTTTTTTTTTTTTTTTTTTTTTTTTTTTTTTACAGTGCTGGGAATGGAACCCAGGATCTTGTACCTGCTTGGCAAGCACTCTGCCACTGAACTCCATCCCTAGCCCTCACAGTTCAATTCAAGTTTCGATAACAAATATTTTATAGATTATTTGTTTTATGTAGTGTTCCAAGTATACACAACCATGTATAACACAAAATTATTATTTTCTTAACGATTCATAGCTGGGCCAGAACTAAGGTGAGGTAG